TTCTCTCTCTCTCTCTCTCTTCTCTCTCTCTCTCTCTCGCAATGTTGCCAAAGCGAAGTGATCAAAATTATGAAAACAACAGCGACAGCACTAACAATACTAGATATCATATTTTTTTAATACTAGTGGTACTTATATTGTCAATTACTTATAATAAATGGAGAAAATAGTACACTTCATATTTCCTCCCTTGGCTTGTGGCAAGCTGTGATATACAGTGGCTTGCGAAAGTATTCACCCCCCTTGGCATTTTTCCTATTTTGTTGCCTTACAACCTGGAATTAAAATGGATTTTGTTTGTATCATTTGATTACACAACATGCCTACCACTTTGAAGATGCAAAATATTTTTTCTTGTGAAACAAACAAGAAATAAGACAAAAAAACAGAAAACTTGAGCGTGCATAACTATTCACCACCCAAAGTCAATACTTTGTAGAGCCACCTTTTGCAGCAATTACAGCTGCAAGTCTCTTGGGGGTATGTCTCTATAAGCTTGGCACATCTAGCCACTGCTCCAGCTCCTTCAAGTTGGATGGGTTCCGCTGGTGAACAGCAATCTTTAAGTCATACCACAGATTCTTAATTGGATTGAGGTCTGTGCTTTGACTAGGCCATTCCAAGACATTTAAATGTTTCCCCTTAAACCACTCAAGTGTTGCTTTAGCAGTACGTTTATGGTCATTGTCCTGCTGGAAGGTGAACCTCCGTCCCAGTCTCAAATCTCTGGAAGACTGAAACAGGTTCCCTCAAGAATGTCCCTGTATTTAGCGCCATCCATCATTCCTTCAATTCTGACCAGTTTCCCAGTCCCTGCCAATGAAAAACATCCCCACAGCATGATGCTGCCACCACCATGCTTCACTGTTGGGATGGTGTTCTCAGGTGATGAGAGGTGTTGGGTTTGCGCCAGACATAGCATTTTCCTTGATGGCCAAAAAGCTCAATTTTAGTCTCATCTGACTAGAGTACCTTCTTCCATATGTTTGGGGAAACTCCCACATGCCTTTTGCTGAACACCAAACGTGTTTGCTAATTTTTTTCTTTAAGCAATGGCTTTTTTCTGGCCACTCTTCTGTAAAGCCTAGCTCTGTGGAGTGTACGGCTTAAGGTTGTCCTATGGACAGATACTCCAATATCCGCTGTGGAGCTTTGCAGCTCCTTCAGGGTTATCTTTGGTCTCTTTGTTGCCTCTCTGATTAATGCCCTCCTTGCCTGGTCCATGAGTTTTGGTGGGCGGCCCTCTCTTGGCAGGTTTGCTGTGGTGCCATATTCTTTCAAAAAATTTTATAATGGATTTAATGGTGCTCTGTGGGATGTTTAAAGTTTCTGATATTTTTTTTATAACCCAACCCTGATCTGTACTTCTCCACAACTTTGTCCCTGACCTGTTTGGAGAACTCCTTGGGCTTCATGGTGCCACTTGTTTGGTGGTGCCCCTTGCTTAGGGGTGTTGCAGACTCTGGGGCCTTTCAGAACAGGTGCGTATATATACTGAGATCATGTGACAGATCATGTGACACTTAGATTGCACACAGGTGGACTTTATTTAACTAATTATGTGACTTCTGAAGGTAATTGGTTGCACCAGATCTTATTTAGGGGCTTCATAGCAAAGGGGGTGAATACATATGCACGCACCACTTTTCCGTTATTTATCTTTTGAATTTTTTGAAAAAAATTATTTTTTTCATTTCACTTCACCAATTTGGACTATTTTGTGTATGTCCATTACATGAAATCCAAATAAAAATCAATTTAAATTACAGGTTGTAATGCAACAAAATAGGAAAAACGCCAAGGGGGATGAATACTTTTGTAAGGCACTGTACTGTGCTTCCAACTCTATAACATCAGACCTCTCCCCCAATAGAATACAACATTTATCTTTGTTTGATTTCATTTAGAATTTGGGAAAGAAGGAATCTCTAATTACCATATAGTTGAGGCAGGTGATTACAAAGTGTTCTTCACTTTCTACCTCTCCTGACCCTCTCCGGTTTCAATTGCCAGGCTATGATCACTAATTCTGTATGGGGTTGTCTCTCCCTCTGCTAGAGAGAGAGAGAGAGAGAGAAAGAGAGAAAAAAAGAAGGAAGAGAGGAGGAGAGCGAAAAAAGAAGACAGAAGGAGAGAGAGCGCGAGAGAGGATCATTAGCTCTAGCAGATCTCTACCAGTCGCCTGCTCACTATCAATCTATCTCTCTCCCCCAATCCGCAGAATATCTCTCTACTCGCTCTCCTCTATCTCTCCGCTCTCTCTCTCTCTCTCTCTCTCTCTCTCTCTCTCTCTCTCTCTCTCTCTTCTCAGGAGGCTCCTTTACCTGAGCTCAGCTCAGTCCTGGGGAGAGGTGGAGGGCCTGGCTGAGCGCTGAACTAATTAATGCTCTGTTGGTGTGTGTGTGCATGCATTGCTGTGTGTGTGTGTTTATGTGTGTGTGAGGGTTGCTTAATCTTCTGTGATGATTGCATTTGCATGTTATGGCCTTTTCTACCGTAAAGCTGCTCTTTCATTATTTCCCTCTCTGATTGCACTACAGAAGGGCCATCCTCTCATCAACTGCATGATATCAAAGTCTGTTGATGTGGGTAGGTGTGTGTGTGTATGTATGTGTTTGTGTGTTTGTGTGTGTTTTCCCAGCCAGCAACTGGAGCAGTTCACCAGGCAGAGCTGAGGGAGTGCCAGAGTTGCCAGTTAAAGTGACACACACACACATGCACACACACACACACTACACTCCAACCGCCACCTGAAGTGGCCATTAACAGAAAACGGGTCAAAGGTAAAAACAGAAGAGCTGGCAAGGAAAGGAGGATATGTGTGTGTTCCAAATGGAACCCTATCCCCTTATAGTACCCCATGGGCCCTGGTCAAAAGTAGTGCACTATATAGGGAATAGGGTACTATTTGGGACACAACCTATATGTTAACAGAAGTATTCTGAGTGCTCTGTTTTCTTTTAAGAAACGAGTGTATTGGTATCATGTGTGTCATTAACATAGTATTAGTGTTGTGTATTAGTGTTGGAGCAGAGACAGTTTGTTACAGCAGGAAAATAATTGTGCAGCAACAAGAAATGTGAATTATTATATGGATTACAACTAATGGACATTTTTGTAGGGGTTGATACACTTTTTGTTAGGGCAAATCAAGTCTGACATTTCTAAGTGGAAATGACAATCTTTAGAATCCTTTTTAAAACTCAAATACACTACAAATTTGCATTTCCTGCCATGCAGGAAATTTCTCAGCGATCAAATCAAGATCTGTATGGTGCTTGGAGTTGAGTAGACGTTCGGCTGAGGACAGGTTCCACAGTACCAAGTATAGTGAAGACCAATCAGTGTTTCTTGGCCAGAACTTTACCACCTTTTTCATACCAATGGATATACCTGTCACCCAACCCCATGAAAACATACACACACACACGCACACACACACACACACACAAACATACACTACATCAAACCCGCTCCCCTCTGACCCCGGGGCGTGTTGAAGTCTCAGTAGTGATCATCAGCGGTGCGATCCCCATAGCGGGAATCTAATGGCCTGTAATCTGCAGGATGGGTAATAATATTGAGATTGGTGACTGGGGTCTATGGCTGCATCCCAAATAGCTCCATATTCCCTTTATAATGCACTAATATTGACCTGGGCCCATAGGGCTCTGGTGGAAAGTAGTGCACTGTATAACGAATAGGGTGCCATTTGGGACGCACTCATCTATATACTACACATGCAGGGCAGGGAAAGCAATCATCATTAATAACTCAACTGCAATCTTCATAGTGATCCTCTTCTGTATAGATCTAGGACTGTGTCCCACATTGCTCCTCATTCCCTATATAGGGCACTACTTGGGCCCTGGTCAAAAGTACTGCACTACATATGGAATAGGGTGTCATTTGGGATGCAATCCTATAGATCCACTGCACATCTCACTAAGATAGGTAGGTCAATGCTTAATCATACAGTACAGTACAACATACTCTCAATCTCAATCTGAGTGGTTATGTTGATGTGTTCTACTTTACTGTGAATCATATTACTGCCAGCGTTTCAGATATGCCTTAATATAACAGATAGGAATTATATTCCATATAGATTTTTTACCACAATGATTCTATGGGATTATCTACTTCCCACTGGGCACAGATGTCAGTTCAACGTCTAGTTTTGATTTACATTTGGTTGAGTTGTCAACTAACCTGAATTCAACCTGAAATCAACAAAACATTTAATTGGATTTAGGTTAAACGTTGGGTGAAAATTCACGAAATTCCCTTAGGTTGATGACTTTTTTTCAAATCCAATCATTTTTCCACATTGTTTCAATGTCATCACATTACATTTTTTTGTTGAAATGGTGTGGTTGATTTAACCAGTCTTTGCCCAGTGGGTTGGTTTAAAACTATCTGGGTTTTACAGAAATGTTTTGATTAAACATTCTGCAGGCTAGCCTACATGTCCATAGAGAAAGAATGTAATATAATTTCAACATAACATTGGTTAAATCTTGGTTGAACCCATAGCAACCACACAAAAAAACAAACACCTTACTTTTGTGTTTGTCTTTCTTGCACTAACACTTGCACTCGTCTTTTCTTATTAGCACTGATTTTGCTGATATAGCTCCTTTATTAAGGAACGTTGTTACTTGAAATTACTGTGATGTGGTTGTCTTCTTAACTACCTTAGTTGAATGAACTGACTTACATGCTCATGTCGAGAGCGACTTATCTGCTAAATAATCTAAATGTAAATATAAACATCAGATGCAGACAGAAAGGCCTTTAAAATATGAATTATTGCATTACTTTTACAGTATATAGGGAATAGGGTGCCATTTTGGACAAATTCCTATTCTCAGTGAGTAAACTCCCCTCTCATACATTTGTTTGTAGTTGTCACATTCTTTTATAACAAGTCAACACCAAATCTACGCAGTGACTGACAATCGACACTAGGTGGCGATGACTGTCAGAATACAGTTTACCGACCTCATAAAGATGGCGGCGCTGTTCTCCCGGTTTGTGTCTGTTTGGGGAAATGTAAGACATTTTCTAGTAAATTCTGTTATTATTGGTCAAACAATGGCGTGCGGCACAAAAATGGATACAGACAGAACTACGAAGGTTTGAACAATCTGTTAATATTCTTTCTTCAAATGAGAAGTTGTACGTTTTGTTTTCCTTGCCTTATTGAAAACACTGCGTGTCAATACTGAATGTAAACAAATACTTATTGAGTAAGACTACTTACACAGTAACCGGATATTGACTGTCTGTAATACAGTAGCTAGCTATCAATCATTAGTATTGAAATGTATCGTCATTAAAAGCATTGTATTTGGGACAAATCATTCACTTAACCCTAATCCTCAACTACATCTTGTAATGAATAATGTGGAAATTTACCAAGTTGAGGTGACTAAACTGCTTGGAGTAACCCTGGATTGTAAACTGTCATGGTCAAAACATATTGATAAAACAGTAGCTAAGATGGGGAGAAGTCTGTCCATAAAGCGCTGCTCTGGCTTCTTAACAGCTCTATCAACAAGGCAGGTCCTTCAGGCTCTAGTTTTGTCGCACCTGGACTACTGTTCAGTCGTGTGGTCAGGTACCACAAAGAGGGACCTCGTAAAATTACAATTGGCTCAGAACAGGGCAGCACGGCTGGGCCTTAAATGTACACGGAGAGCTAACATGAATATGTACATCTCTCCTGGCTCAAAGTAGAGGAGAAATTGACTGAGAAATTGATCACTACTTGTATTTGTGAGAGGTATTGACATGTTGAATGCACCGAGCTGTCTGTTTGAACTACTGGCACAAAGCTCAGACACATTTACATTACATTTTAGTCATTTAGCAGACGCTCTTATCCAGAGCGACTTACAGTTAGTAAGTGCATACATTTTCATACTGGTCCCCCGTGGGAATCAAACCCACAACCCTGGCATTGCAAGCACCATGCTCTACCAACTGAGCATACCCCACAAGACATGCCACCAGAGGTCTCTTCACAGTCCACAAGTTCAGAACAGACTATGGGAGGCGCACAGTACTACAGCCATAATAAATACAAATACAAATGGTGCCTGTTAACTATTGTATCATCGACAATTGATATTGATTGCAGCATTGTTGAGAAACTAAAGTAACCCCAGCTATTGATTGATAGCTATACTGACTGTACTTTGAGGACCTAACTAGCTAGTTAAATGCTCACTATTTCTCTATTACGTACAGCTGGAGTTTGCAGTGCAGATGACATGTGACAGTTGTGCAGAGAAAGTCCGAGCTGCACTGGAGGGAACACCAGGTACATTTTTACCTTTCCATTCCAGCACTCAAATGAGTTATTAGTGTAGTTGGGTAGTAACTACACTTTTGCTAGTGTGCACAATAGAATACTCGTTGTTAACTCAGTTGTGTATTGCTCCTAGGCTTATGATCAATAGTAACACATTAGAACAAATGATGAATGTTGTTGTTGTTTACTTAGCTATTATTATTGTATTACCATTCAGTAGGCTGATACAGGGGCCGCTCATGCTTTTGGTAAACATAATTTACACTGGAACAAAACCACTGGGCCCCTCCATGCATTCCAAGATATGAATCAAACTAAAAGCCATCTAAAGCATTTAACGCACATGGCAGCAGTATTTGTCACAGTGACGGATATCTCGCTTTTATTTTACTCATTCCTCCCCTGTGTTTTCTCCTCATCCATTCTTTCTCTGTTTTCTCCTCCTCCATCTCTTTTTTCTCTCTCTCTCTCTGTTGCGCTCCTCATCCTTTCTTTCTGTTACCGCCTCCTTCATTCATTCCCTCTCTCTACATCCCTCTCTCCTCTCCTTTATTCTGTGTGTAGGAGTGCAGTCTGTGAAGATAGACGTGGGGAAGGAGGAGGTTCTGGTGGAGTCTGCTCTGACATCCCATGAGGTGCAGGGTCTCATAGAGAGCACTGGGTGCAGGGCAGTACTAAAGGGCATTGGAGGAACAGAACCGGGTACGGGCACACTGAGATGCATGAACAGGGATGAAATCGTATATGATGTACATCATTGTCTGCTTTTGTCTGTCAAAAGTACAACTCATCTCTACTTTTTTTTCCAGACAAGTTCTATATGTGTATTTTTTTGGCTGGACAATCATCTCCATTGTCATTCAACCGGCAATGGATGACTCCCATTGAAAAGCATTGGCTCCATCCGAAATACTCAGACACAGCCACAGCCCATAGAGTTAGGTAGATGACTCTAGATGGATACAACAAATTTTGGCATGGACGTTGCCATAGGACTTCCTATGGGTTAAGGAAGGATCACATGATTCCATCCGGGTCAGCAGGAGGGATCAGCCAATGAATTATATTTGTGAGGAAACACTAGGTGGCAGTGTGTACCTTTTCAGTTTGTCTGCCAACTCATAGAAGTAGTAGTAGAAGAAGAAGATGGACTACTTAAAAATGGAGATGGCCTCAATGGCGCTGCCTGTGCTCTGCGCTCACAGGCGCCATAATGGGCCATGTATAAAGATGTGATATCTATCTCTGTGCCATGGCCTAAGAAGGTAGCAGTCACCCTGAGGGTGTATGAACCACTTGGTGACTTCAGAATGCCTACACACATTTACAGACTCCTCCTGTCCAATATTTAAGTTATTAGTAGGCCTACGTCACAGGTGTATTTGGCAGCATATGTGCATCTGTATGTGTACTCTACTGTGTGTGTGTGTGTGTACTGTATATGCAAAGTTTGTGTGTGTGTCTGTGTGTGTACTCTATGCAAATATTTGTGTGTGTGTGTGTATCAGACCTGGGTGCAGCGGTGGTCATGATGGGCGGTAGTGGTCCTGTCCAGGGGGTGGTACGGTTCCTCCAGCTGTCTGAGGAGCGCTGTCTGATCGACGGGACCATTGATGGTCTGGAACCTGGCGCCCACGGACTCCACGTCCACACGCTGGGAGACCTCACACAGGACTGCCAGAGGTGATCTTTGTGTGTGTGCATGTGCGAAACATGATATATTGTCAACCCCCCAAAAAAATTTTTTGCCCACAATTTTCTACATCCTTCAGAGTTTGCTCAGTCAATTTTAAAATAATCCTTGAATAGATCAGTCGCTTTATGATTGCATCACTGCAGCTCATGATGAGGTCACAGTTGCACCTGCTTGCCCCAGAGGATCATGAGAGTGGATTACTCATTTTTCTCTCTGCCTGTGTGTTTGTACAGCTGTGGAGAACACTATAACCCCTATGGGAAACAACATGGTGCCCCGCAGGACCCAGAAAGGGTACAGTTTCCTTGACTTCTTCTAGAGTAGGGCTACACTGTATAGTTCTGTTTAGTTCCTTGTGAAACTGGGGTACTTTCTTTCTGAGATGTTAGGCTTTCAGGAAGTACCTTTTTACCATCTCAAAGAGATGATATAATAGGATTGATCTGATTAGGTATTGATTAGACTGATATTGGTTCACTCTTGCCTTTTCAAAAGGTTGGGATATTCATAGTTGTGATATTCATGGTCTTGGTTGTGATATTCAGTTAAATGTGTTTTTCTTCCAGCATGTAGGTGATCTAGGGAATATTGTGGCCGGATCAGACGGTCGAGCCTCATTCAGACTAGAGGACCCTGAGCTGAAGGTAACACACCCAACCCCTTATGGTCTAAAACCTATGTATTTACATGGGTAGTGACATAGGCAGGTACAGTGTAATTACAGTGAAGGCATTTAGTACATGTTGTTATAGTGGGTTGGGGAATGCACAATTGCAAGAATTTACAACTAAACTCTATGGAGATAACTGAGTAATCTAGAACAATACTTCTAAGTGGAGGGGAGGTTTAGCCACAATTGAATACTGAGCACAGCACACTGGTCAGCGGTACCAACACCATTGACAGTAGCCACTCTTATCCCTCCTCTGTCACTTCCTGCTTTACTTCCTGCAGGTGTGGGACGTGATTGGTCGGTCTCTGGTGGTGGATGCTGGGGAGGATGACCTGGGAAGGGGGGCTCACCCCCTCTCCAAACTGACAGGGAACTCCGGCCAGAGGTGAGCTCATGGTAGAGGCGAGATGTGGATAGCGTTTGGGTGGACGTACTGTAGGTAAAAGTTGAATTAATTAAGTTGCATTTATAGTGAAAAATGCACTGGTGCTGATATTTTCTTTTTGTTTCTCTTTCTTTTCTCTCGCTCTTTACCCCCCACCTCTTTCTCTGTCTGTGTATAAATTGCTCTGTGCTCGTTGGGTACAGGCTGGCCTGTGGGATCATCGCTCGCTCCGCTGGCCTGTTCCAGAACGCCAAGCAGATTTGTGCGTGTGACGGGGTGACTCTGTGGGAGGAGAGGGACCGACCGCTGGCAGGGACGGGTCGCAGCAAGACCACTACAGAGATACCTGCTGCTCACCTGTGACCTGGGGTCTGTTCAGGAAGATGTGATGTTACAGAACGTTAAAAAAATACATGTATTGTGTAGAACCGATATGATTGTGTGTCAGATGGAACAGGGAATCCTGTCAGCACTATTAATTATATTTCTATCTGCAACGTTCAAAACGTTTCATATCTCTGAATACACCCATGAACGGCCAACCTCACTGGCTGTCGCTGATGATGTCACACACTGACTGAAGTTGCACTGAGAGAGAGTGAGGAGGAGAAGAAACCGAAACCAAAGAATTGTCTATTCAGCTGTAATAATTATTGAGTTGCCATATGGAATTCTTTCAAGATCGGAACCTGTTATAACAGTTTGAAGAAAAACAACAGCACAGGAATATGATAGAGGTGTCTAGACACTGAATTATCTCCCATATAGGCAAGATCAGGGTTCCAAGCCCAAACATCCCATGTTGACTATTCTGTTGTTGTCGACTAAGTTTAACAGTTTTGTACTATCAAGCAGTCAATGTTGTAATTCTGTTTGATTACAATTTCATACTAATCTCAACTGCTTAACTGTCTAAATATCTGTCCCTTGAACTCTGGATGTGCTCATTGTGTCATTGTGTGTTTTTAAACTGTGGGGGTTGATTGGATTGACTTGAGATGGTGACTGTTTTAGTGGTTCCATTACCCGTCGGTAGAATGCCAATCTACTAGGGTGAATCTCAGGTCTTTCCTTGATTCCTCGCATCCTCTCAGGTCACATTGGAGGTGAAGATCACCTCAGATCTTCTCCAATTAGTTTTGGGGAGTCGAGGAGAGAGGATGCGAGGAATCGAGGAAATACTTTAGGGCGGCAGGTTGGGCCAGTAACCGAGGGTCGATGGTTTGGGTCCCCGACCTCACTAGGTGAAGAGTCTGTTGATGTGCCCTTGAGTGGGGCACTTAACCCGAGTTGCTCCTGTGGGTCGCTCTGGATAAGAGCTTCTGCTAAATGACTAAAATGTAGCACTTTTCATGACTTGAATCATGATTATATCAAAATCTTTGTAGCTAGTGTTGTAAGTGATTGGTTTTTTCTCAAGTGTAGGAAAGTTATTCATCAACTTTTCTCAGTGAAATGAAATTTGCAATAAAAGGCACCAGTTGCCCTTTGGACTATGGTGAAACCTGTCTATGAATTGATGAATGACTGACTTTTGTTATGTCGAAGCATGTTGTAAAGCCACTTTTTAATAGCCTATCTGTTCGAAAATGTAATAAGGTGATTGTGAAGAATCAGCATTCTGGTGTGGCAGCCCCCAACCCCCTGACTTCCCCATTGGTGAAGAATGCCCGTCCTTCTAAAAAACGGAAGCAGGCGCTACCATTTTGAAACACGGCACTGCTTGGGTAAGTAAGATGGTAGATTTATGTACCTATTTCATTCGATTTCTTTACTAAAGATGAAAAATACACCAAATAACGATTCGTAGAAATATTAGGTTTTATTCGTTGTCAGTGTAAGAACCAATGGCACGAAACACGAAAGCGTATTGTCGTTCCATTGAAGACATTTTCGCTCTCGTGCAATGTATCCGTTCCAGTGCGGAAAAATGCTGTGACTGTAACATTTCCAATGTAACATTGTTTTGCAATATTTCCACCATTCATCCGATACAATTCGTGTACTGTTTGTCTAGATTGGATTGATGATAACAAAACAATGGCATCGAAAACCCATTTCCAGCTACTTAGGTAAATCGTCTGATCACATTTTCGCCGCGAGGTTTGTTCAGTTTCGGTCACACCAACCAAAACCTAAGCATCCTCCAGTCCATATGGGTAATTTTTAAGAAAACATGTCGTATATCAACAGTCTTAGCAGTGAATTGGCAAATCATATAAACCCGAACCACATTTTCGTTACATATCTGTAACATCGTGGTCGATCGGGAGATTTCCCAATGGCAGGGGTGCCAGCCAGGTCAAGCTAAAATGTGTAGCCCATGACCTCTGAAAACCCGCCCACAAGGCCTGAAAACAAGCCCAAAAATGTTTTTCACAACAGGAGGGAAGTTACCATATTTATCCAATAAACCCTTTTCCATAAGGTTATCGTGCGAATTAAGAAGGAATATCGACGTATTTTTTTGTACGACGTAGGCTAAGAAGCTGAATTTGGTTTTCCATCAAAAAAATAATTATTGCCAGTTTAAGAATATGTAGCAAGAGAAAAGATACATTGCCCTGATTAAACTCTCCAGATCATTTCCCATAAATGGATGTTATTTAACTTGTTTTGACTTCTATAATTAAGCGATAAGGCCAGAGGAGGTGTGGTATATGGCCAATATACCATGGCTAAGGGCTGTGCTTAGGACATAGCCTTTAGCCGTGGTATATTGGCCATATACCACAAAGAACAGCCCTTAGCCGTGGTATATTGGCCATATACCACAAACCCCTGAGGTGCCTTATTACTATTATAAACTGGTTACCAATGTAATTAGAACAGTAAAAAGTATGTTTTTGTCATTCCGCTGGTACACATCTGATATACCATGGCTTTCAACCAATCAGCATTCAGGGCTCAAACCACCCTCTTTATAATTGTAAAAAAATCCTGTTTGCGCATGTGCATAACTAGATAAATCCGACAGGAGAGTTTTGAGTGATGAAAGTTGGACAGAGAATCTCGAAATCTCTGTGCAAGAAACGCATGGATGAACATTTAAAAAAATGAATGTTAGGCTATTTTCTGGCAATTGTGCTGTTATTATGTTCCAGATGTTAAGACTACAAACCGTTATAAATGGCCTATTTGCGAGATTTACTTGTTATTTCAATAGGCATAGGCTACTGACTAAAATCTGGGTTTATAATTGCAATTCAACTTTGCCATGGTTTGCTGAGCTAGATGCAGGTAGCCTATAGCCCCTGATAGGCCATCTCATTTCAGGTAAAAGTCCACAATGAAACTGACATTAAATGTGGAAAATGATACATTTGCGATAGAGCTGTGACCATGATCACAATTGATAATTTTCCAATTGAATTAACTAAACATGGCCATTAATAATTGCATATAGCACAAGGCTACAACAACACACTGAATTATAGGTTATTTATTACATTCGTTTGCCAGCTCCAGGTAGGCTACACAAGTGGCACATTGATTTGCAATGACTCCAGTGATCAAATCAAATTGTATTTGCCACATGCGCCGAATACAACGGGTGTAGACACCCGTTTACTTACAGCCCTTAACCAACAATGCATTTATTTCTTAATAAAAAAGTAAAATAAAACAACAACAAAAAAGTGTTGAGAAAAAAAGAGCAGAAGTAAAATAAAATAACAGTATGGAGGCTATATATCAATGTGCGGTGGCACCAGGTAGTTGAGGTAATATGTACATGTGGGTAGAGTTAAAGTGACTATGCATAAATAATTAACAGAGTAGCAGCAGCGTAAAAAGATGGGGTGGGGGTGCAAATAGTCCGGGTAGCCATGATTAGCTGTTCAGGAGTCTTATGGCTTGATATCATAATTTCAATATATATTTATTGTATCAAATGGTAGGCAACAGTAGCCTGCAATGGCATAGAAGTTAATAGCCTATTTGATGGTCAACAGATGAAAATGCAGCCAATCATTCTCCACAATTAATGTAATTTTAATTGTGGACTTTTCCCCATAACACAAGCATGCGAGAGAGTTCCATAACTTCCATTTAAAATGTCCACTCGCGCAGCGCTGCAGACCCTAGAACTGAGCATGCGTAAAACCCTTCGCTTGATACTGTTTTCCAATGCGTTGTCGCCGTTCTATCAGTTGTAGCACGTTAATATGTTTTATGGAAAAAGGGTGTCTCCATAATGACGGATCTAAATAGCCTACCTACAACTAGTCAAAAGTTGTTACGACGTGCGCGTGTGCTGCTTTGTCGCGGTGACTCAGCTGCCTCTGCTGCAGCACTCTCGTCAACCAGCGATCTCAACGCGCTCACACCCCTCCGGCCCTCCCCATCTCCACCATTCATTAATTCACTCACTAAGTAACAGCCTGCTCACTGCCTGATAGTCAGCAGCAGCAGGTCACAGTGAAATATATATATATATATACACACACACACACACACACACACACACACAGTTGGGGAAAAAAAGTATTTAGTCAGCCACCCAATTGTGCAAGTTCTTCCCACCTTAAAAAGATGAGAGGCCTGTAATTTTCATCATAGGTACACGTCAAACTATGACAGACAAAATGAGATTTTTTCTCTCTCCAGAAAATCACAATTGTAGGATTTTTAATGAATTTATTTGCAAATTATGGTGGAAAATAATTATTTGGTCAACAACAAAGGTTTCTCAGTACTTTGTTATATACCCTTTGTTGGCAATGACAACAGGTCAAACGTTTTCTGTAAGCCTTCACAAGGTTTTTCACACACTGTTGCTGGTATTTTGGCCCATTCCTCCATGCAGATCTCCTCTAGAGCAGTGATGTTTTTGGGGCTGGTCGCTGGGCAACACAGACTTTCAACTCCTCCAAAGATTTTCTATGGGGTTGAGATCTGGAGACTGGCTAGGCCACTCCAGGACCTTGAATGCTTCTTACGAATCCACTTCGTTGCCCGGGCGGTGTGTTTGGGATCATTGTCATGCTGAAAGACCCAGCCACGTTTAATCTTCAATGCCCTTGCTGATGGAAGGAGGTTTTCACTCAAAATCTCACGATACATGGCCCCATTCATTCTTTCCTTTACACGGATCAGTCGTCCTGGTCCCTTTGCAGAAAAACAGCCCCAAAGCATGATGTTTCCACCCCCATGCTTCACAGTAGGTATGGTGTTCTTTGGATGCAACTCAGCATTCTTTGTCCTCCAAACACGATGAGTTGAGTTTTTACCAAAAAGTTATATTTTGGTTTCATCTGACCATATGACATTCTCCCAATCCTCTTCTGGGATCATCCAAATTCACTCTAGCAAACTTCAGACGGGCCTGGACATGTACTGGCTTAAGCAGGGGGACACGTCTGGCACTGCAGGATTTCAGTCCCTGGCGGCGTAGTGTGTTACTGATGGTAGGCTTTGTTACTTTGGTCCCAGCTCTCTGCAGGTCATTCACTAGGTCCCACCGTGTGGTTCTGGGATTTTTGCTCACCGTTCTTGTGATCATTTTGACCCCACGGTGTGAGCTCTTGCGTGGAGCCCCAGATCGAGGGAGATTATCAGTGGTCTTGTATGTCTTCCATTTCCTAATAATGCTCCCACAGTGATTTCTTCAAACCAGCTGCTTACCTAATGCAGATTCAGTCTTCCCAGCCTGGTGCAGGTCTACAATGTTGTTTCTGGTGTCCTTTGACAGCTCTTTGGTCTTGGCCATAGTGGAGTTTGGAGTGTGACTGTTGAGGTTGTGGACAGGTGTCTTTTATACTGATACAAGTTCAAACAGGTGCCATTAATACAGGGTAACGAGTGGAGGACAGAGGAGCCTCTTACATAAGAAGTTACAGGTCTTGAGAGCCAGAAATCTTGCTTGTTTGTAGGTGACCAAATACTTATTTTCACCATAATTTGCAAAATAAATTCATTAAAATACCTACAATGTGATTTTCTGGATTTTCCCCTCAATTTGTCTGTCATAGTTGACGTGTACCTATGATGAAAATTACAGGCCTCTCTCATCTTTTTAAGTGGGAGAACTTGCACAATTGGTGGCTGACTAAATACTTTTTTCCCCCACTGTATGATAAAAATTACAGGCCTCTCATCCTTTTAAGTGGGAGAACTTGCACACTTAGTGGCTGACTAAATACTATTTTCCCCCACTGTGTATATATATTGAACCTTTTGTGCAAGAAATCATTAACAGGGTAGATGGGAGAAAATATTTTAAAATGAGTTTCTTTAATTTTTTTATTCAAAAGTTCAAGTCATTAATTTGTAATCTTGGAAAAGTGGGAATATATATAATATACGTGTCTTAATAAGTCCAAGTAAAGGAAGTGGAATTGCT